CCACGGCCGCATCCTGCCCGGGGCTGCCATGGCACTGCTGCCAGAACCTGAAGAGTGGCAGAGCGCTCCCTGCCTCCAGCCTCTCACCAAAGTCCTTTTGGTTTTTTTGCCAGCACGAGTAGTAGGAGCCCGGCTGCCTGCCCTGCCCTGTCCCCTGCTGCCTGCTGTAGCTTGGCGGCAAATGGCTGCAACAGTCACTGCCAGCTTTGCGCTGCGTGAATAAACGTAGATCTGCCAGGACTTGCTCTGTTGCGTGTCGTAGCGTAACCAGGGCCTTGGCCTCTGCTGCTGGAGATGTGGGGGGCAAGCTGGGGTCTTTGGGGACATCTTTCACAGCCAGGCAGGGGCAGGAGAGAGGCGCAGGCCTCCCCTCTCCCTCCTCTATTGCCCTGGCTTGCTCCAGGCTATAGGTGGGTTTTGGGAAAAGAGCCCTTTCCTCATCCCTTCCCACCAGAACACTTCAGCCCTCTCTCAGCTGCAGGGGACCAGAGCTGGGGGGGGTGAGGGTGGAGGGCAGAACAGACCTCACTGGAACCATTACTCATGGGGAGAACATAAACAATCCTAACTACAGTCCTGCAGGGCAGGGCAGAGGGAGGGTTGTTACGGCTTTGGCAAAAGGACTGCAAAAAAAGACATCTCCACTCATTTCTTTAAAATAGATTTCTTTAATAGTTTCCATTTAATACGTTTATTTGCAGTTAGTAAATTGGCATTAATCTGGGCAGCACGAACCTCAGCAATCCATGGGGATAGTGCAGACTTCCAGAAGTATTTGTTAGTGACAGGGGTCCCGCCTCCACCCCCCGTCCCAGCGCGCAGCCTGCTGCAACTCCGCTGAAGCCAGCGAGCTCTCCCCGGCAGCATGCGGGGCACTTCCTCCCCGTGCTCTCCATAAATAAGACAAAACAAGGATGAAGGACGGAGCTGTCTGGTCCCTCTCAAAACGAGATGCTTGAGGCACCTGGCATGGAGCGATGAGCCCACAGGAACATGGCCCCCAGTTAAAATTTGCCTGTGACCCTCCTGCACGTTCATCCCCCTGCCCGCTGCGGGCAGAGCCTTTCCCCTGGAGACCAGCGTGCTCCTTTGCTGGAGCAGCTGCTGTGGGTTTCTTTCCTGCGCCCTCCTCTGCAGACAGCCCACTCGGCCTCCTGCGTCAGCCTGAAGGCGAAAGCAAAGCCAAGCTGCCTCTGGCAAGCAAGGACCCAAAGGTTACTCTGCTCCCACGCTGGGGAGGAGGGATCCACGAGCCAGAAGGCAGGCTGGCACCATTTCAGCTCAGCCTCACGCAGGCCGATAGCCAAGGACAGACGCAGCTTGGCCCCTAACTGTACGTTACGTAAATACAGAGATGTAAATGAGACTCTGCAGGTTTATAGCAGCAATCATTGGATGCACCAATTAACTAGACTATGGAAAAGGCATCCCTTAACTTAAAAGCCTTTTAATTTGAAGCATTTATTTTAAGTGTACATCTATTACAGTTAAGAAGAAGCAAAGATACACCAAAAACACAAATACCCAAGAACAAAAAAGTACAGATGAGAAAGAAATTAGCTCAGGGGAGGGAGGGGGCAGGGTGGGGGTGACCTGAGGAAGAACAGA